ATTTAGATACTGTCTACCTGGAGATAGCATCAGATTCCATAGGTTTATCGCTCAGTTCCATAAAAATGTCCCCTCACAACCCCCACCTCAGATACCAGTTGTAAGCACAGGTTACCTGTATTTCTGGCTAACTGACTATAAACCAAAAGTGCCCATGATCTCTTCCCTGTGTTCCATTAATTTGCTAGAGGGGCTCACAGAACTCAAGGAAACATTTACTTAGTTGATTAACAATTTATTATAAAGGATATAAATCAGGAACAGCCAGATGGAAGAGATGCATAAGACAAGGTATGGGGACAGGGAGAGGAGATTCCATGCCTTCCCAAGGTGCCACCCTTCCAGCACCTCCATGAGTTTATCAACCTGGAACCTCTGTCCTTTTGGGTTTTTTATAAAGGGTTCATTATGTAGGCATGACTGATTAAATCACTGGCCATCCATGACTGAACTCAATCTCTAGCCCTTCACCCCTCCCCAGAGGTTGGGGGTCCAGTGGGGATGGAGAACGGAAGTTCCACTCGTCTAATCACCTGGTTGGATGTCTTGGCAGCCAGCCCCCATCCTTAGGAGCTTTCCAAAAGTCACCTCCTTCACATAACAAAAGACACCTTTATCACTCTGCTCTCATCACTTAGGAAATTCCAAGAGTTTTAAGACCTTTGTGCCAGAAGTGGGGATGAAAGCCAAATATGTATTTCTTATAAATCACAATATCACACATGTGGTCTCAGTGGGAGTCCAGACTAATCACACAAGGAGCTCTAGAAGGTGAATTGCAACAGAGTTGGTCCCACCCAAAGCGAGGGATCTCATCAGTCTCTTGTAACTGTAATTTCATCAGTTATTGGCTGCAAGCTACCCTGGCTAAGAGTGTTACTTACCCAGATTCCTATCAGCCAAAGGCAGTTCTCTGCCAGGGAGGCCAGTTCTGAGCTAGTAGCAGTCAACACTCAGAGGCTAGTGGCTAGATGCACAAGTCCCATAAAGCAGATCTGGGCAGCGTACCAACAGTGTCTCTTCAGGGCCTAACATGGCATTGGTCTCTATTGAGTGCATTACATTTGTTATTTATATTGGCTTTCTCATCTACTAACATCAATGAGTATTTTTCCATACCTACTGCTGTTCAAGTCTATATACTCCTTTCTGCTTTTGTACAGATTAGTTTTTTAACCTTAGTATAAAACATTACATTCCCCTCTATTAGGTGTCCTCTCATTACATTTTCCCCTTCTACTCAGGCTATCTGTATCATTTTGGATGTTGCCATCCAATACTCCATAAACCACCTGACTTCAGGTGAACGCATGTTTGAATTCTCATTAAAAACAGACTGATTCTGTCAGCAACATATGGTCTCTGAGCATTCAGTCCCATCTACTAAAGCCCCAGTATCCAGAATGTCAAGATCAAACTCCGCTAATGCCTATCACTTTGAAATCAACATTTTGCTTTCTGAGAAATTTCATACCTTTGAGGATAAAAGGTTTCATTGGTTCAAAGAAAATTCCTCAGATCAAAATATTGTCAAACAAATGTATGGGTTGCCCTCCCCATCCCCTATTTAGAATTTGCTTCCCAAGCATCCAGTTCCTAAGCCAGCAGAGGTTTTTTGGCTGGCTTTTTTTCTGATTAACAGCAAAATGAATCATTGCCTTCATGGGAACCCTGAGTCCTCAATGCCTGAGAGGTTAATGCAGACAGGGTCTTGTTGCCCGAGGTCCAAGCTGTACTTTCTGGCCACATGGGTGGTTAATGCAATCAAGGATGAGATTAATTAAATTAAAAGTCTGCTTTTATTGTTCAGAAAATACAGCAAATTCAATAGTCTTTGACAGCCTGGAGCTGGAGGCCTGGCTCTAATGTGATCACTGCTAGATGGGTGTAGCCAGACACCATGTCATTTAGGGAGGTAGAACGCCTCTATGCCAGTTACGGGCTGCGTCCACTGTACATTTCGAAGCCTTTAGTAAGCAATCAACGTAATCTGCATTTACCTCTGCAGGTATCTGCCCAGGACTGAGCCTGGCACCTTCTGTTTTTTGTGTTTTTTTTTTTAATTTTTATTTATTTATTTGAGAGAGAGAGAGTGAGAGAGAGAGAGAGAGCATGAGAGAAGGGAGGGTCAGAGGGAGAAGCAGACTCCCTGCGGGGCAGGAAGCCCGATGTGGGACTCGATCCCGGGACTCCAGGATCATGACCTGAGCTGAAAAGCAGTCGCTTAACGAACTGAGCCACCCAGGCGCTCTGTTTTGCTTCTAAAAACACTGCGCAGTTAACTAGTCACCCCCGGCAATGAGCCTAGAGCCCCTGTTGTTCTGCTATGCTTGGAAAACATAGGTACCAGCTCTTTTAATTTCCCAAACCCTGTCCCACTATGTCCTACTTTAGGAATTGCCTTCCAAAAAGACATGTGTGTAAAAATCTTTTCCCCTGGAATGTTGAAGGAGACCAGTCTAGTCAGTATCTATCATGAAGCAGATACAATATATGCCCTTTGCCATGATCTTTTGCATTAGGTTTTTGGTGGGGGTGGGGTGTATGGATAAAACAAAGACTTTAGAAATGGAGATATAGTTTTGATTTCTGCTTTTATAATTTACTCATTATAAACTTTTGGTAAATTACTTAATCTCTCTATACCTCTAATGTGGGTCTCAAGATACCCACCTGTAAGACTATCTGAAGGTTAAAAATAATGAAACTTGCAATGTAGCATTCATTAAAAGTCTGCTATGTTTTCTTGTTGTTATCATCATTAACCCAAGTTACAGAGGCTCAAAGAGATCAGGAGACGGGCCCAAAAATGCTCCATCCTTACCCTTTCTCCTATCAAAAATAGCCTCTTATGAAAGTCAGCCACTTCCACCTTAGCATGAATTCAATCCTAAATATGACTCCTCTCAGATTTTCATCCACATTTAGCTGGACTCTGGGTTTGGGTTGCACGTTGGGATTACCCAGGATGCTCTATGCCTAGGTTCCACCTCTAGCTGGACTCTGGTATATTTTAATTGGTCTGGGGTGCTGCTTGGACACAAGAATATTTAAAAGCTCCCCAGTGATTCTGTGGTGTAGCCAAGATTGAGAGGCACTGTACCAACCTCTCTCCAACCGTGGAAGGAAAGTCTTCGGCCAATGTTAAAGAGTTTCACAAAGGTTGGAGGACCTGTAGGCTCTGACATATCAAAGAGGAAACCATTTTGGCCTACTTTAAGAGTAGCTGTCATTTCACAAACACTGAGGGGAGCTCCATGAGAAAGTTGTGTGATCTCCTAGGAAGGGAGCAGTTTAAGAATTCTATAGCACTGCATGGCTATGTCTACCCCCTGGCCCAGCATGCACTTGCTATGGGATGCCCAGTCAGAATGTATGGGCTGGCCCCAAGAGGGCTCTCCCTATAGCTCTGGGTTGTAATTTATCTTTTCTAGGCCTGTCTCCCAGCTAGACTCTCAGCTTCCTGGGGGCCAGGAATGTATTTAACTTTTTTCAAACACACAGTTAGACTTTTGTGAAATGGATTTGGAAAAGTCCACTGAAATCCAACTCAAAAGTGCTTGCTTCTAACCAGCTTTAGAGTCCAGTTAAGGAGAGGACAGAATAGTGTGAACTTTAAAATTTTTAAACAGGTACCAGAAGAAGAATTTTTAAATACATCACCAATTTTCATTGGGCAATGAGGGTCTTTTGCCTTAAAAATATAAACAAATAAATCTTTAAGTCTTGGTGAATGAAATGGAAGAGTAGCTATTGGATAAATCACTTTACCATAAATTCTTTTGTCATTTGAAATATTTTCTAGAGCAAGGAAGAAAATTTTAAAAATAAAAAATCAATTAATCAAATCAATCAATAAATTAAATAATATAAATTGGCAAACAAAAGAGTAGATACATGAACTGAAAACACTGATTTCTCTTTTTCCATTATAATAGTGTTTATAACATTTAAAATAATTTAAAAAGTGTTCTTCCTTTGAGTGTTTGAAGGATTCCAACCTGTCCCATCTTGCCTTAAGCAGAATGTCCCTACAGGAAGATGTTAGACCTTAACATATGGATATATCAGATAACTATTTTTTTAGAAAGAGGCATTAAAAAGCTTTTTTAAAAGTAGTATCTGTCAAAAGGTTCTTTATTTCCGTGAAACTGAATATCTCCAACTGCATAGAAATTACAGCATTTTAGAACAAAAAGAGACCTTAGAAGTTTTGCCAATCAAATTGCCTCACTTTGTAGATGAACAGAGATGCTGAGGAACTTGCTCAGGGCTTCCCAGGAATCTACTAACAGAATAGGGCTCTGCTACAAGCCTTCTTGAAACCCTGTTCCTTGCTCACTCCATGCCACATACTGCAGGTTATTTTCATGTCTTTTGTCTTTAAAAATGCAGGGGGTGGGGGAGAGAGAGAGCAGGAGTCCATTTTATATATAGTATGATGCCAGGTTATTAAATCATCCTCTCTCAGATAAACTTCTTTGAGAACTTCTCTTATTTGAAAAGACCTGAATTGTCTCCACTTTCCTCAACCTGCACAGCATCCATCTTTTATTTCCTTTTCTTCCTTGTTATTGCATCTGCCTGCAGAACATGGCACAAGGGCACATGGAGGAAGGATGGGGAGTGAAGGTAGCTGTGATATAAACAGAGTGATGGAGCTGGCTGCTTCTGAGTGAGCTCAGAGCCTATCTAATTATGAAGCTATGTCATTTCTCCCTCCTCTCACCCTATCCCCATCATTCTCCTTGGGTACAGGGCCACATGTACTTCTGAGGCAATTCCTCCAATCCCTGAAGATGGGCATAGACTGGCCAAGGGATCTGTGGAAATTGATAGCCCCCCTTGAATAAGGGCCTAAACAGCCCGGCTCCTTCAGTGCCATCAATCAACAGTCACTAGGAACAGAGAAAAGATTTTCCCTAGTGACTTAATCAGTCAGAGGGATGTTGCCTAGCTGATTGAGGGCAGCTGGAAAGTGAGCAGTTGTTTCTATTATAACTTGTCATCAGCTATTGCTCTCAATAGAGAAAGCTAGGTCACAGCAGCTCTACAAAAGATCAAGGCAGGTGTTTTGTTTAGTCCCTTGGAGAGATGCTGATTTGGGAAAGAGAGAATGAGGGCTTTCTTGAAGATGGTCTGTTACTACATTTAATATGAAATTTATATCCTAGCTTTCACAGATGATCCAGGGCACTGGGGCAGAGATTTAAAAAAAAAAAAAAAAGAATGCTATGTTCCTTTATTTGGTGTGGGAGGAGGATGAAGGTAATCTTTGTACTTTCCATCCTGCATCCCAACTTATTCGGGCACTATTGCCTAGTGGCTGGCATGCTATCCCACCCATCTCCCCACTTCTTCTAGGCAGGAGGTCCTTCTTTGACCACTCTGTATGTTGCCCTGCCCATAGTCCCTCCTTATCACATCCCCCTGTTTCCCTTCCTTTGTAGCATTATCATCCAGAATCATCTCACTTTTGGTTATTTCTTTATCTGTTCTCCACTTCTAGAAAGTAAACGGCATGATGACGAGGAACCTGATCTCACTCTGTAGTTATCACCTTATCATCTACCCATGGTGCCTGGAAGACAGTAGGTACACAATAACTATTTGATTAATGAAGTAATTATTTCATATGTGTCAATTCTTTTTAAATAGCTATTATCAGATTGGGTTGTAGAAGCAAGGACAGATTTGCAGACCTAGGCAGACCTCCGATTTCAGGTAACATGAGGTCCAGCATGCAGGGGAGCCATCTGGATTCAGACATTGGGGTAAGGAGTGGTCAGAAAACAGTAGTGTGGGTAACTTTACATCAACTGAGGAAAAAAAAAAAAAACCTCAAAATTAGGCAAACTCATGCTTCTTCTCAGAAGGCTTCTCTATTTGTCCTTTGAAAGCAAGAGTGTATCCCTAAGCTTTCACTAGTTTGAGGCTTGTCTTTGTTGTTCAGTGAAAATCCTGGCTGGGAAGCAAAGGGAGACAGGGAGGGAAGAAGAAATTCTTATGGGGGCCCCTGTTAGTCTTATGTCATGAGTAGACTTTGGACAGACTCATATGTCCTGGGTTCCTTGTCCTTTGTGAATGAACACTGAGAAGGATTCAAGATAAAAGGTAATTAAAAAGTGTATAAAGCACTGTTACTGCAATGAATTTGCACTTTAGAATGGGGCATTCAAGGCATCCAGGCAAATACTCAACAATGGTGCAGGGCCTTCAAATTAACATCTGTGTTTCCTTGAATCTTAAATACACCCTCCTCACCAACATTTAATAACCATCTATTGGACATTTAGAGTGTGCTCCTTAAGCCAGGGAAGGCAAATCCCTGGGAGGGCACATTGTATGCTGGGAGATATCCAAAAATAAACATGTGTCATCTTAGCACTGGGGGAACAGAGCTGATGTTTTGTATTTTTTAAACTCATGAAAAGTTTAATGATAAAACACGAGACTTTTGAGAAGTGCTGAGCTGGTGGTCAGGCTGTTTTGGATTGAGCCTCTGGTCCCCACAACTCTTGCCCAGTACTTTCACTGTCATTTAGAAATAATCCACATTTTCCATTATCTTTATCCATTTAGCATCTTTTCCCTTATGGATTTGGAATGTCTACATCTCTAACAATTATGGATGAGATGTTTAGATACAACCAGTATTCCATGTGTTCACTTGAATTTCCCAGACTTTGCCATTGGGATGGGGCCATGATACAAGTTTTGGCCAATGGATCCTAAGTAGAAATGGTGGATGTCCCTTCCCAGATGAGCCAGTTAAGAGCTAATGTGTCTCCTCCATCCCCTCCTCATCTCCTCAGTAACCTTGGAAGCCACATGTTGAGATGGTGGAAGTAGAACATGCAAGGAGCCTGGGTCTCTAACTGCAAGATGGAGGCAAGATCCCATCAACCTTCATCAGATTTTGCAGGAGCCAGAAATAAATCTTCATTGTGCTAAACCACTGAGATTTTAGGATTTGTTTATTTCCATTGCATGGTGTAAGCTTTGTCTAATACTCCATTCATAATCATTTCAAAGTAGAGGTGTCAGCTGAAGGTGGTAACATATGTTTTCTGACTCATCATGATTTGGGATGTTAGCTTGTTTGTAGAGTCAAATCTATAAGATCCTGGTTCTGGACATAGGAGACAAGTCAGGTATGTTCACATGCTGCCCTGCTAAGAGTTTCAGTAGATCCTCAAACTAAACTTTAAGCTATTCTTTGTTAACTTCTCAAACTATGCTTTGCAGTTCTTAAGTGTTAATTTGAAATTCTCTGGTTATTAAAGTCCTGGAGCTCTTTTTAACCAAAAGGACAAAAGGAGTTGACTGCAGTCACTGTTTAAAAGGTCTCATCTCAATAGAGCTGAAAGAACACACAGACCTTCCCCAATAACAAGGCGACCTAAATCATGCACACACTGGAGAGAGTTCCAATCCATTTTATTGAATGGCTGCTATCCCCAACAAGAATATTATATTGCCCCTCATGTTAAATTGCATTGCAGGAGGCTGACAAGAAACTCAGTATAAAGGGGCGGAACAAGATGGCTGAGGAGTAGGAGACCTGGATTTCGTCTCCTCTCAGGAATTCAGCTGGATAGGGATCAAACCATTCTGAACACCTACAAACTCAAC